CTATAGTCCAGCCCTCCATCGGTCTGAGGGACAGTAAACTGGCCCCCGGTTTAAAAAGTTTGAGGACCCCTGACCTAGAGCTTCGGAGAGCTTCTGTTCTACCATCTCAAAGCTCCCTGCTTGAGTGTTGATGGCACGATCATCAGCATAGATGAAACTCTCTGTCCCTTCTGGCAGTGGCTGGTCATTTGTGTAGATGTTGAACATGGATGGAGCAAGCACGCTCCCCTGAGGCAGGCCGTTCTTCTGTTTCCGCCATCTGCTTCTCTGGCCCTGAACTCAACAAAAAAGCTCCTGTTTTGTAGCAGGTTTCCTATGAGGCGGGTGAGGTGGTCGTCCTTTGTGATATTATACATTTTTCTCAGGAGGAGGCGGTGGTTCACAGTATCATAAGCTGCTGACAGGTCTATGAAGACAGCTCCAGTGATCTGCTGCCTTTCAAAGCCATCTTCTATGGGCTGAGTCAGGTTCAACACTTGTGATGTGCAGCTTTTGCCTTTTCTGAAGCCAGCTTGCTGTGGGATCAGACAAGGGTCTATTTTTTCCGTAATTCCATAAGTAAGTAAGTATTCTCCTAAGGGAAGAGCCAAAGGATTTCTCCCCTCCTTTAGTCAAACTAGAATAAAAGCTCTACTTACTGCATCTTTGGAAGCTTTGTGCTTTTGCTTGTTTCCGTAGTCATTGGAAGATAAGGTATGCTTAACTTTGCTTATTGGTTTGCTGAGACACATATCCCCAAGGAATTCCCGCCACTAGTGCGTGTGTGTTTTAGGAGCCGGGGCTATGCATTCCTCTTAATGCCTGCTTTGACGCACCCCTCTCTCCCCACAGATTGACAAAACAGAGGACAAGTCCCTGGAAGAGCGCGGTCGGATCCTGATCTCCCTCAAATACAACTCCCAGAAGCAAGCCCTGCATGTGGGCATCGTCCGCTGCGCACACTTGGCCGCCATGGATGCCAACGGCTACTCAGACCCCTATGTGAAAACGTGAGTCCGTTGAATGATAAAAGAGGGAATGAGCTTCTTTTCTGCTGCTCTGGAGACTAAGACACCAACTAATAGACTGAAATGCAGTGTTCCCTCACTGATCGCGGGTGTTACTTTCCAGGACAACCTGCAAAAAGTGAAAATCTGCAAAGTAGGGAATATATATATATATATATATATATATATATATATATATATATATATCTTACTGTTTCTTTGTCAGTATTAATGTGGAGATTGTCTGGTTTTCCTACTCTGGAACAGGCAACATATAATTGTCCTTCTTTAGGGGTCACTTTCAAATCTGATACTATATCTCTGTGTGTGTGAATCATATATATCTATCTATTATCTATGGCTTGATGGCTCTTTGTCAGGAGAGCTTTGATTATGTTTTCTTGCCCTGGTGAAGGGAGTTGGACTGGATAGCCTTAAGTATTTTCTGTTGGTCATGGGGGTTCTGTGTGGGAAGTTTGGCCCAATTCTCTCGTTGGTGGGGTTCAGAATGGTCTTTGATTGTAGGTGAACTATAAATCCCAGTAACTACAGCTCTCAGATGTCGAGGTCTATTTCTCTCAAACTTCACCTGTGTTCTTATTTGGGCATATGGAATATTCGTGCCAAGTTTGGTCCAGATCCATCATTGTTTGAGTCCACACATCATGGTGACCATCATCGATGAGGATAGGACATCCTACACACCCGTCTTGAACCAGTAAGGGACGGAGGAGGTCCCTATGAGGAAGGGCCCTTGATGACCATCATCAATGAGGATAGGACAGCCTACACACCCGTCTTGAACCAGTAAGGAGGGAGGGGGTCCCTATGAGGAAGGGTCCTTGATGACCATCATCGATGAGGATAGGACAGCCTACACACCCGTCTTGAACCAGTAAGGGACGGAGGAGGTCCCTATGAGGAAGGGCCCTTGATGACCATCATCGATGAGGATAGGACAGCCTACACACTCGTCTTGAACCAGTAAGGAGGGAGGGGGTCCCTTTGGGTGAGGGCTCATGGTGACCATCATCGATGAGGACAGGACGGCGTACACACTCGTCTTGAACCAGTAAGGGAGACAGGAGGTCCCTTTGGGGAAGGGCCCATGGTGACCATCATCGATGAGGATAGGACGGCCTACACACCCGTCTTGAACCAGTAAGGGAGGGAGGAGGTCCCTTTGGGGAGGGCCCTTGGTGACCATCATGGTGACCATCATCAATGAGGATAGGATGGCCTACACATCTGTCTTGAACCAGTAAGGCAGGGAGGGGGTCCCTTTGGGGAAGGGGTATTCCTTCTCTGGTCCCTTGCTTTGGCCCCCTGCCTCCCCCCAATGCCTAGCCCTTGGGCCTCCGAGGCGAGTGCTTCACACAAGACCCTCCCCCCTCCTCCTCCCCCCACAATTCCCGTCCCTTTGACGCACCGCATTCCCTGGGAATTAAGATCAGCAAATAAAAAGGGGGATATTTTTATAAACGTCAAGTTTGCACAGCGCTTCTGAAAGCCAAATAATCTGGGAAAGATTATCCGGCGTTGAGTCACGGGGAATGCATTAGCAGGGCGCTTTCCCTCTCCCCCCCCATCGCGGAGCCTGAGTGTCTGATCGCAGCCACAATCAGGCGCTGACCCCCCCCCCCCACCTCACTCATCAGTTCTCGTCTTCTAAGAAAGGTAAAAGGTAAAAAGTCAAAAAATCCATGCAGTTACATTTTGCCTAGAGAGAGGCAAAATGTGCCTCCTCATAGGCAGAAAGAAAAGCAGAAGAGACTGGAGAAATACATTCTTGATTGAAATGGTCTTGGAGCAAACTGGCTTACTAAATCCCATCTTCTAAGAAAGGTTAAAAGGTAAAAAGTCAAAAAATCCATGCAGCTACATTTTGCCTAGAGAGAGGCAGAAAGAAAAGCAGAAGAGACTGGAGAAATACATTCTTGATTGAAATGGTCTTGGAGCAAACTGGCTTACTAAATCCCATCTTCTAAGAAAGGTAAAAGGTAAAAAGTCAAAAAATCCATGCAGCTACATTTTGCCTAGAGAGAGGCAAAATGTGCCTCCTCATAGGTAGAAAGGAAAGCAGAAGAGACTGGAGAAATACATTCTTGATAGAAAAGGTCTTGGAACTAACTAGCTTACTAAATCTCATCTTCTAAGAAAGGTAAAAAGTCAAAAAATCTATGCAGCTACATTTTGCCTAGAGAGAGGCAAAATGTGCATCCCCATAGGCAAAAAGAAAAGCAGAAGAGTCTAGAGAAATACATTCTTGATTGAAATGGTCTTGGAGCAAAGTGCTTACTAAATCCCATCTTCTAAGAAAGGTAAAAAGTCAAAAAATCCATGCAGCTACATTTTGCCTAGAGAGAGTCAGCGGGTTGGGTTTTGGGGGAAATGTCTCCCCAAATAGAGGGGAAGTGGGTAACACAAAGCCTTTATGGGCATGGTGGGCTTCTCGGGGGGGCGGGGGGAGGCGAGGTCAGATGGACCAATGCTGCCTCTCCCCTTCCCTCTACCCCCAATCTCCATTTCCAGGTTCCCCCAGGAGCTGAACATGGGTCGGGTCAGCGCGGAGATCATGTGGTTCCTCTTCGCCCAGGACATGAAGTACGCCCTGGAAGGTGAGAGGGAGGTTCTGGAAGGGATGGAGGGAGGGAAGGCAGCCCTTGCGCCCGGCAGGAGCAGCACCCGTTTGACGCCTGGAAATCGGCCAAGCTGTCTCTCCATCTTCTTCCTTCCTTCGCATTAATGTCCCTGCCGGGTTATTCCTTCCGACATGGCTCTAAACTGGACTGGGAGCAACTTGGCAGGTTGTCACAGCTGGACACAGGCCTCCGTCTGATGCCTCGCCAAAATCATTTGGACAGAAGGAAGCGCCGAGGGAGAGGCAGGGAGACTTGCAAGCATAGAAGAGGGGAGGAGGGAGGGAAGGAGAGAAAGAAGGAAGGAAGGGGAGGAAGAAGAAAAGGAGAGAGGGAGAGGGAGGAAGGGGAAGAAGGAAGGGAGGAAAAGAAAAGGAAGGCAAGAGGGAGGGAGGGAAGAAGGACGAGAGGGAGGGAAAATAGAAAGGAGGGAGGTAGAGAAAGAAGGAAGGAAGGGGAGGAAGAAGAAAAGGAGAGAGGGAGAGGGAGGAAGGGGAAGAAGGAAGGGAGGAAAAGAAAAGGAAGGCAAGAGGGAGGGAGGGAAGAAGGACGAGAGGGAGGGAAAATAGAAAGGAGGGAGGTAGAGAAAGAAGGAAGGAAGGGGAGGAAGAAGAAATGGAGGGGGGCAAGTACATATGAACAAAGGAACAAATGAGAGGGTGAATAGTGAAGGAAGGAAGGGGAGGAAGAAGAAGGGAGAGAGGGAGGGGAGGAAGAGGGAGGGAAGGGAAAGAGGAAAGAAGGAACAAAGGAAAGAGAGGGGGAAGAGGGAAGGAAGGGAAAGAAAGAAGGAAGGAAAAGAGGAAGTCAAGAGGGGGGAAGGAAGAAGGACAAGAGGGAGGGAAAATAGAAAGGAGGGAGGGAGAGAAAGAAGAAAGGAAGGGAAGGAAGAAGAAAGGAGAGATGGTGGGGGAAGAGGGAAGGAGGAAGGGAAAGAGGAACGAAGGAACAAAGGAAAGAGGGGGGAGAGGGAAGGAAGGGAAAAAGGAAGGAAGGAAGGAAGGAAGGAAGGAAGGAAGGAAGGAAGGAAGAAAAAGCACATTAATTCAAAAAGGGAGGGAGGTAATGAATAAGTACGAAAGGAGGGAAAATAGGAATGTATGGAGGGAGGGAAAAAGGAAGGAAGGGGAAGGAAGAAGAAAGGAAGGGGGAAGGAAGGAAAGGAAGGAATGAAGGAGAAAAAGGGAATAGAGAAAGAAAGGAAGAAGGGAGAAAGAAGGGAAGGAAGGAAAGAAAAGGAAGGCAAGAGGGAGGGAGGGAAGAAGGGAGGAGAGGGGAGGAGGGAGGGAAAGAAAGAAAGAAGGAAGGGGAGGAAAAAGAAAAGGAGAGAGGGAGAGGGAGGAAGGGAGGAAGGGGAAGAAGGAAGGGAGGGAAGGGAAAGAAGGAAGGAAAAGAAAAGGAAGGCAAGAGGGAGGGAGGGAAGAAGGACGAGAGGGAGGGAAAATAGAAAGGAGGGAGGTAGAGAAAGAAGGAAGGAAGGGGAGGAAGAAGAAAAGGAGAGAGGGAGAGGGAGGAAGGGGAAGAAGGAAGGGAGGAAAAGAAAAGGAAGGCAA